ATTTTCAAAAATGTCAAATATGTTCATTTTTTCTGTAGATTCAGCCATAATTTCACGTTGTTATACTATTCAACTATTATTTAATATTTTTATCGATTTAAATATATGATGAGATGCTTAGTTCTCCTGGAAATCGATTTTTAATCGCAATTTTAACTTTCCAAAAAAAATTCAAAAATAAAAATCCCTCTCAATTTTCTAAGTTTTATAACTCGCCAAATCTCTAGCCAATTTTTTTGGCCCGTATAAATATTGTTTGGCACTATATAGGGATGCTATTTATCATATTTTCATCCCATTTTACTGTTATCGCCTAGTGAATGTACCTTTGTTAGAAAAAATATACAACTAAAATGTCAGTTTTAAAAAATTTAAAAATTATATTAAAACAATAGTCATTGAGGATGGTTAATTGCAAAAACTCAAGAAACTATCATTATCTCTCTTTGCTTAACACATCTACAACTGGAAACATCATTCCAAATGAAGTTCCTCAGTCTCGTCAAAATTTCTCTCTCATCTACAACAAGCTTAACTCAAAACTCAAGAAACTATCATTATCTCTCTTTGCTTAACACATCTACAACTGGAAACATCATTCCAAATGTTGCATTCAAGAATCCTATTATTATTCTTTCTTTCAATCTTTTATATTTACTCTTTAAATTCTAATATAATATAAATTCTTCATTTCCTTTGTTTAAACTTTTTTCATTTTAATACCATTTTATCAGATAGTAATTTTTGTTTTTCTCTGACCAAAAATCTTCTCAATTTAACTCCACCTTCACAAAAATTCATTGAGTTCTCTCAAAATTCTTGTATTTTTGGTATACTTAAAGTATCATCTTCAAATATTTTTTTGGAGAAAATTGACTTTGCATAATATCGTAATACTTTTTAAGGCAGATAGATTTACCGTAAGTTGAAGAACTTTTAATTTGAACAGAAATTATTCAACAAATATTCTTTTTATTTGATCAATAAATTGTAATATCATTATACTATATATTAATATGAATTTTTATAGAAAAGCTTTATTTTTTTCTCAATTTTTAATTTCATTTCAGTCTCTAAACTTTCTTACTATGTAAAAACGTATTATTATAGTAATAAAATAAAATACATGTTTATTCGATCTCGTATTTCAAAAAAATAAAATTACTTATATAAAAAGATTCTCTTTAGTCAACTTTCTTTTTGAATCTCTAATAAGTTTTTACTGTTGCTTCTATATATTAAGTATTGATTCTTGTAGTAAAGAAAATCCGGAACGTTTATTTATTAGAATACTCGAACTTTGACTTACATATTACTAATTGTAATTATTTTCAAGAGCTATTTCTATTACTCCTACTTGTTCGGCTTAAAATCTGCTATATTGTTAAGATAAACTAAGTCTAAATTTTGAACCATTTTTTGAAGTTTAAAGTGTAATACATATCGATTTTTTATCCGAATTTAAGAATTGCTTCAAAGTTTTAGCGTGAAATCGTGCATTTTTTCTAATGAAATTGTTATTATAAGATAAGCAATCTGAGTTTTTTTGAATAATATGTCACTACACATGATAGAGCGTTACGTGCTGAAAAGTTACGCTTCGTTCTGAAAGTGATAATGAAGTTTTATTAGAATTCATCAAAAAAACGTATGAAAATAATCGTATGTCAAAATGTGAGCACTTCTCAAAATTTGCTCACATTTTGACTATTTTTGTGAGATCTTCCTCACAATTTTTTGACAAACGTACAAAAAAAGTGCCAAAATGTGAGCAAATGTGAGCAATTTTTATATCTCATCGGAAACTTATATATCGATTTTATTTTATCTATATCAGCTCCATGTTCAACAAGAAATTGTACCATTTTTAAATTCATTGGAATTTCTTGCACTTCTAGTGAAGTTATGCTAGGATTTGACTAGTAACAGTTTCTCTAAACTTTTTTTTGAAATTTTTCTTGGTTTGAAGGATGCCTTATGAAGTGAGATGACGTGATTTTGTATATTGCTTATTACTTCATATGTGGTATGGGATATTAATATTATTGAAAAATAAATTAGTATTTTTTCTGAGTCGGTCAAATATACTCAGAATAATTTTTATTTTATATATCTAAGGCTACATGTCTTATGTAAAATTTTTCATTTTTAAAAATGGACTGTACAAATTCTGATCCATCTGTCTATATAAATGGCATGCAGCAAATAATAGCCATATGTAAGGGTCGTGGAATTCCCGAAATTGCAGAGCGTTTAAAGCAAGTCAAAGATAAATTTACACCTGAGTTTATTACACAATTTCAACCTGAAACAGCATTAATTATGCAATCATTTCAAGGGATTCAAAACTTTAAAGGAAAATTTTCTAAGAAAAATCCAAAATTCATTGCATTTCTAAATCAAATTGAAGAAATGATAGATTCAATTAGCATATTCACCAATTTCATAACTTTGATCAAAGGAAAGAGATATGAATTCGAAATGGCTGAGATATTTAGAAGACTTTTCAAAATGTCTTTTCATCCTCCTCAAGATGATAATAGTTATGAAACATTGGTTTATCCTGTGTACAACATATTTTTCGATTTCTTTAATATGAATTCGAATATAATAAACTTCAAAAGTTCAACAGGAAGTGGAAAAACGAGATGTGCACCTTTCATGTTTTCGATACTTTCTTATTATGAAGAACTCAAGATGCCTTTCTTCATAATGACACAACCAGGAAAAACAATCATTGATGACAAAGTTGAAGACTTCACCAATTTCTTTGGTGACACAGTTATTTTAGAAACAGATCCCAAGAAATACTTAGAATATTACGAACAGCAAAACATAACAAAACCCATCATTGGTTTGTTCTCTCCTCGTTCTCTTTTAGTTCTTATTTCAAAATCCTTCAAAAAACACATCAAAATATTCAACAGAACAAGATTTTGTCTTGATGAAATCCATGAAAGAGATTGTCACACAGATGCAGTTATATCAGAATTAGCTGAGAATTGCCCTAAATATAAGATCAAGAAACACATAATGATGATGTCTGCAACTCCTGATAATCGAATATTTGATGTATTTCGAGAAGATGGAATTGAAATCAAAGAATTACATCTTAAAGAAAAATGTTTATTCCCTATCAAGGATGTAATTGTCAAAGTAGACAATGTTAATAATATTGCAACCACGGCGGTTAATAATGCAATCCAAATCATTGATAATATGACAACAAACACATCAATACAAGGTCATATCTTAATATTTTCATCTGGAAGACAAAGAATTCTTGAGATTTATGACTTATTTTTATCAAGTATCAAAGAATTTATCAGTAATGAAAAAAAGCGAGAAGAAGAAAAAAGGCGTGAATTCAATGAAACAATGAATCTTCCTATAGCAAATACAAAAAGAAAAGGTAAAAAAAACAAAAAGAACAGACACCAGAGTTTTTATTTCAGAAAGTTGGAATTCTTTTAGACTGCGAAGAAGCATTGAATGATGAACAGAAATTTTATCAGTACATAAAAGAGAATGTCACTGATAAAAACAAGCTTTACATTCTTCCAATTCCATTTCTCAGCTATGTTTCGAACTTCCAGAAACACATTGCAAAAAGCAATATTCCGAACTATGACAATATAATCAAAGTTGTCATTGCTACAAATGCAATTGAATCTTCAATAACAATTGATAATATGGCAGCTGTTATTGATTGCGGCATTTGTAATACTCCAGAGTTCAACTCTTTGACAGGAATTACAAATCTTAAAGAATCTCAAATCACAAAGCAAAATCAAATGCAAAGAAGAGGAAGAGTTGGTCGTGTCATGCCTGGAACAGCAGTTCAAATTACTGTTGAAGGAGAAATTATCCCAGATTATCAAGAACCAGAAATATTAACAAGTGACATATCTGCTTTCATTTTAGATCTTCGAAGAATTGGTATAAGATTTGAAAATCTTAAGAAATTGCCAAATGAAGTTCCATTAGAAACAGTACAATCAAAGATCAATATATTAAAGAATATTGGTGCTTTGGATTTAACAACAGGAAATCTCACAAAGAAAGGATTGAAATTATCATCGTTCAGAAACTTTTCTCCATTTATTTCTGCATCAATAATGAATCTTTCAAATAAATATTATGAAGGAAATTACATTCCAATGATTCTTGCAGCATTAGTTATTAAGTTGATATCAGGAGAAATCATTCAAAATAACTTATCGAAGATGTTTGTTAAAAACTTTAATGTCGAATCAGATGTTGACACAATCATGAAAACATTTATTGAAATGGTCAACACAAGAAAGAAAATCAAAGATGTCGCATTAGAATATGGTTTCATTCCAAAGAAGGCTACTCAAATCGTTGGTGAGATTTTCGAACTATGCCAAATGCTTGAAAAAGGAAAGAAAGATGAATTATGGCCAAGTCTCACCAAATTCTATTCAGATTGTCAATTTGTCCATGTTTTTTGTTCAAGATTATTTGAAGAGATACAAAGTAACTCAGAAAATGGAATTTGGATCATTGCAAGAAAGGCAGAATTGGATCTTGTATCAAATACGCTTTTTGAACCAGAATTTAGATTCAAAGCTGATAAATGTCTTGCTTTTAATTCAAATGAAGGTTACATTGTTACAAGATCAAGACCAGGATCTTTTAGTTTCAACATTCCATCAAATGTATTAATTCTTAATATTGCAAGAAATGCTAATTTGAAAATTAACTTTGGAAGCATTATTCATATCGATCTCACACAAGTACAAAATTACAAACCATTTGCAATTAATATTCCTAATTTTTATAATACACCATTTTTAATACCGATGTTGAATGGTTTTGTATCAAAATATCAAAATTACATGTTGAAATTCAATCAAATTGGAAGTGCATTGAAAGCAAAAGAAAGTGACATTTGTTTTGCTTTTTCATCACTTCTCAATAACAAAGAAATTTGTTTGAATTCATTCATTAAAGCTGACAAATATGAAAAAGTAGAAATGAAGATTCGTGAAGGAATCCAAATTGTTCAAGATTTAGCACCTTTTACACCACAAACAATTCTCATCATTCATCCATACATGAAATGCTGTTGTGCACTAAAAGGATATGGAATTGATAAGATTGATAATGATATCATTTCATTTGATGAACCAGAATACAAAGCATACCATGTCAATGAAAACACACTCAGATATATGCACTCGAAAATATCTGAACTTAGTAAACAGTCTAGTACATGTTCAATTGCTATCACAGGTGAAGATATGTCATTTTCATTTGATCAAACCGTTAAATTTGAAGGAAACAAGAAATTTGTTTCATTCCCACATACAAATCAAAAATGCAACTCTGTTTTTAGTATTCAAAAAGACTTTTCACATCTTGTCATCATATCTAAAGAAGAAATTTGTTTGGAACAAAGTCTTACTTGGCAAAATGTTCAGAACTATCAACAAGCCACAATTGGTGACATATCTGCATCAAATTATGAAAATATCTTTCCAAATGGAGTTAAAATCTTCTACAATCCATGGATCAACTTCTATCCAGATACATATTTAATTAAATATATCCAAAAGAAAAAAGTTGAAGAAGAATATGATGACTTAGATGAAGACTCGAAATCATCCTTTAAAATTATCAATATTATTGACTTTTATGCAAATCAATGTGTGCACGGTGAAAAATTGATCAAAGATGTTGAATTTGAGCTACAAGATGTATTAGGAAAATGTAATTTTGGAAAAGCAATTGGATTAAGATCACATTTAATGAAAACTAAACAGTTGCCATCTCTTGAAAAGCTCAAATCAATTAAAAATGTAATTGAAGATGCACTTATGGCTCCATTTTCATTAATACCAGATCTCAGATCATTAAATATTGATAAAAGACTCCACAACCTTTCGATTGTTTATCAACAAATTGCATTAGCAAAATTATTTAATCTCAAATTTGCACATAGCGTGAAATTCCTCAAAAACTGCATCACAATTAAAATCAAGAATACAGAAAATAATGATGAAAATATTGCGAAGATTTCAAAGATTTTGAGGTCATTTAATGTTCACAATCAAGAAATTCTTCCGACATATGAAGTTTATATCAAACATTTGTCTGTGTACAAGTTGTCGGAAGAAGAATTTACGGAAAAAGTTCATTCAGTTCTTGATCATTTTGGAGGTACAATTTTCGAAGTATCAAAATATTATGAGTCAAAGACCAAAAATTCTCATGAAAAAGGTATAATTATTGCAACTGTTTGTTCTAAAGAATTCCTTCAGCCACTCATTACAATGTTAAGAGATCAATTTTCAAATGAAATTATCCTTAACATTCCAGAAACAGTCATTCCAAGTTATTTGACAAGATACAGAGAAGTTTTAAACGCTTTGACAAAATATTTTGAAGCGAAAAAGATTCCAATTAAGAACATCAATTGTGATTTCTATGGAACAAAAAATGATGTTGAAAGAGCTGAACAAGAATTACTCAATGATCCACCACATCTTCCAATTACTATAGTCAACATCACACCTGACATCAATACAAAATCCCTTGAAATTGCACTCAGGACACAATCAGTTCCATGGAAATTCAACAAGAGAAACAAAATTCTCATTGTTCCTGAAGATGTCAAACAGGAAACAATCATGGAATTCATTGAAAAATATGGAAGAAAAGATTTATTAATTTCTAAGAATAGCTTTGATATACCAAATTGTTTTGGCGATGATATTTTGTGCCATGGAGATCAGGCATTACAATCAAATGAAAGCATCAATCTTTATTTCCCTAATAAATCCATTGTTTCAAGACCAGTCTGCCTTCAATGCGCAAAGGAAACAATTGCGTTCAATCTTGGAAGAATTGTTGATCAAAATGGTCATGTCAATGTTTCAAGAGCAATTGAAAATTCCGAGCACATTGATATATATTCATTCTATGAACCAACAGCAGAAACAGATAAGAAGAATGGAATCTGGCCAACTACACCATTTGGTCATTTAATTTGGATTTTATTATCATCAACCATTTCTAAAAAAGAAACGAAGGCATATATCACAGCATTGGCAGCATTGGCATTCCACAAATCACCAATGTTCACTTATTGTCCAAATCATCCTGATGTTTTTATCAAGATAAATCAATATGGTATGACATGCTGCCAACAAAAGAATTGTAATATGATCAAATGCAATTCATGTGGTAAATGGCATCCAGCAGGAAAATGTGAAAATCTCGAAATACCAGCTGGGTGTAGACAATGTCCTTTCTGTCAGAATATCGTTGAAAAGTCGCAAGATTGTAATCACATCAAATGCTCGTGTGGTAAACATTTTTGTTACTATTGCGGCAAGGGATTTGACACTGATGGTGAAGTTTATAACCACATGAATACTGCAGATCATATCTATGATCCACCAGACTATTTGAAGTTTGTCTTGCATCAGAATATTCCTGAAGCAAATCTCCGAGAATTCTATAATAAGTTTCCAATTTTTAGAACATATATTTATCGTCCTTAATTAATATAATAATAAATGTTTGTTTTATTGTTTAATGTTGAAATTTACGAAGTTTCAATCAAAAAGACTTTTTAATTAAACTAATATTAAATTTTTACTTATAATATAGATTTATACGGATTGTAGTGCTTTATTTAACTTTATCATTCAAATGCATATATTTATTATTGATATTTTGAAATATCCTCACAATAAAAAAGATTTTGGATTATTCAAAAAGTGATCTAAGACATGAAATATTCAAAAAAATTATTAAAAGATATTGGAAGTTACAGATGGCATATGTATGAGTAGTTATGTATTCTATATAAATTCATTGCCTTGATCGACAAATTAAGATTTAATTTTTAAAATTTATTAATTCGTGAAGAAACTAGGACATCATCAATGCTATGAAGATTTAATGATAATGAGATATATTCCTACCATGAAAAAAAAATGAAAGGGCACTTTTTCATCACGTCTTGAAATCCCGTCTTACCATGTTTTTGTATGATTTAGTCTCTCGTAAATTTTTTATCCTGATTTATCATAAAATTTTTAAAAATTAATATTTCAAGCTCTCAAAAATTATTTTTGTATTATGGAACAAACCAGCGCAATTTATGAGGGTATGCTTCAATCAATTGCGCAGTTAGAGGTTTGTTACTATAAAAACAGTTTCAGAGGCGGAATAAATGATATTCACGATATCAAGAAAAAGATTTCGAAAGATTTGGTTGAACGATTTGAACCTGAATTTCAATTAATTCAACAATCAATAAGGAATCTATGCAACTTTCATGGTGACTTTAATGACAAGGATCAACTTTTTAAGATCTACAAAGACCATGTAAAAACTATCAAAAAATCTATTGAGATTTTTCTTGAATTCATAAAAATGATCAAAGGAAAGAGATATGAATACGAAATGGCCGAGATATTTAGAAGACTTTTCAAAATGTCTTTTCATCCTCCCGAAGATAATAACTTCTACGAAACATTGGTTTATCCTGTTTATAACATATTTTTCGATTTTTTAATATGAATTCGAATATAATAAACTTCAAAAGTTCAACAGGAAGTGGAAAAACGAGATGTGCACCTTTCATGTTTTCGATACTTTCTTATTATGAAGAACTCAAGATGCCTTTCTTCATAATGACACAACCAGGAAAAACAATCATTGATGACAAAGTTGAAGACTTCACCAATTTCTTTGGTGACACAGTTATTTTAGAAACAGATCCCAAGAAATACTTAGAATATTACGAACAGCAAAACATAACAAAACCCATCATTGGTTTGTTCTCTCCTCGTTCTCTTTTAGTTCTTATTTCAAAAGCCAACAAAAAACACATCAAAATATTCGATCGAACAAGATTTTGTCTTGATGAAATCCATGAAAGAGATAACTATACAGATGTTGTAATCTCTAGGCTTGCCGAGAATTGTCCTCCTTTTAAGATCAACAAGCACATCATGATGATGTCAGCAACTCCTGATGATAGAATATTTAAAGTTTTTAACAGAAATGGATACAAAAAAGGAGACTTGATATTAACTGACAAATGTTTGTTTCCAATCAAAGACATTTCCATAACTGTAAAGAATATCGATGAAACAGTTAATGAAGCAGTGAAGAATACAATTACAATCATTGACAACATGGCCAATAATAAATCATTGCAAGGACACATTTTGATTTTCACTTCCGGAAGACAAAGGATCTTAGACATTCACAGACAACTCATCGTTGAACTTAAAGAACACAAAAGAAAAGTTCAAAAAGTTAGATTACTCTTATACGCAGAAAATATAATGAGTGATGAACAAAGCTTCATGAACTACCTGAAAGAGAATGCATCTGATAGTGATAAGCTCTATATACTTCCTATTCCATTCATTAGTTATGTTCCTCCATATCAAAAGAAAATTGCAAAAGGCAATATACCGAACTATAATAATATTATCAAAGTTGTCATTGCAACAAATGCCATTGAATCATCAATTACAATAGATAAAATGGCTGCTGTAATTGATTGTGGAGTCATGAATATTCCTGATACTAATTCATCAATTGGAGTCACAAATCTTAAGGAATCTCCAATCACAAGGCAAAAACCAACTTCAGAGAAGAGGAAGAGTTGGTAGAGTAATGCCAGGAACAGCTGTTCAAATCACAGTTGAAGGAAAGAAAATTCCAGAATATCAAGACCCAGAAATATTAAAGAGTGATATTTCTTCTTTTGTTCTTGATCTCAGAAGAATTGGAATTAGATTTGAAACGCTTTATAAACTTCCAGATAAAGTTTCAAAAGAAAAAGTCAATTCAATCATTAATATGTTGAAGAATATTGGTGCATTAAATCAAGCCACAGGAAATCTTACAAATGATGGATTTATGTTATCATCATTCAGAAACTTTTCTCCGTTTATTTCAGCATCAATTTTGAATCTTTCAAGAAATTACTACGATGGCGAAGTTACACCAATGTTGCTTGCAGCTTTGTCCTTAAAACTAATATCAGATGATATTATTTTAAATAATTTATGTCCAAAATTTGTCCAAAACTTTAATTACGAATCTGACCTGGACACAATCATGAAAACATTCATTGAAATGGTACTTAAAAGAAGAAAGATTGCTGAAATTGCTCCAGATTTTGGATTCCATCCAAAGAAGGCTACACAGATTGTTGGAGAAATATTTGATCTTTCAGAAACATTGGATATAGGTGATACCGAAGATTTGTGGACAAATATTGACGAGTTTTATCAAAACTGTGATTTTGTTCATACTTTTTGTCAAAGATTATTTGATGAAATCGAAAAGAATTCCGAAAATGGTGCATGGATAACTGCCAGGAAAGCACAATTAGATATGATTTCGAATACCAAGTTGGAGCCTGAATTTAGATTCAAAGCAGATGAATGTCATTCATTTGAAGAAACGGAGAAACTTGATGAAAGCAACAAATTTGCCGAATATATACCATCATATGACAAAGAAAAACAAGAAAGCTACATTATTACAAAATCACGTCCTGGTTCATATAGTTTTAACGTTCCATCAAACGTATTGATATTGAATATTCAACGTAATGCAAATCTTAAAATGAACTATGGAACTATCATTCATATAGATCAAAGGGCAGAACAAAAATACAAACCATTTTCTATAAACATCAATTCGTCATTTGATACTCCATTTTTCATTCCGATGATGAATGGATTTGTTTCTTATTATTACAAATTGATGTTGAAATTCAACTTGATTGGAAAAGCATCAAAATGTAAAAATGGAAGCTCTTTCTTTGGATTTTCATCTCTCAATAACAACAAGGAAATTTGCATGAACGCATTTCCCGCAACTAAAAAATATGATGAAATTGTTAGTAAAATTAATGAAGGAATAAAATTGGTACGTGATTTGGCACCATTCACACCACAAACAATTCTTATCAAGCATCCAACAATGGAATATTGTTGCTCTCTAAAAGGTTACGGAATTGACAAAATCGATTATGATGTCATTTCCTTCAATGAACCATCATTCAATGCTTATCATGTTAACGAAGCATCGATCAAATATATTCATTCTAAAATTGAGGAACTCAGTAAACATTCAAGCATTTGCACAATCGCTATTACAGGAGAAGATATGTCATTTTCAGATGATAAAGATGATATTGTTGATGAAGATCAAAAGAAAGAAAAGAAAAAGAAAAAATTTGTTTCCTTTCCACATACTTTTGCAAAATGTGATTCAGTTTTCAGCAAGCCAAAGGATTATTCACATTTGGTAATAATTTCAAAAAAAATTATACCCAAAGCAGAAAGAATTACATGGAAAGTAAACAAACCTCCAGAAAAATGTACTCCAGATCCTAATTCCACAAAACAATGGGAGGATATCTTTCCAAATGCAGTTTGTGTTAATAAAACACCATGGGTTTTATTTTACCCCCAGAGATATGCCATTGAATATCGTTCAACAAAAGATATTCCAAATATTCCAAATCGAAGAAATCAAATTATCAAATTATTAGAATTCGCTCCAATAATTGAAGAATTCAGCAAGAAATGTGTAGATGGACAAAATCTTATCAATGATGTTAATCTAGAAATTACAATTACAGGCACTTGATTATGATAAAGTAATTGAATTAAAATCATCCTTAGTCAAGGCCAATCAAATGCCAACAATTCATCAATTAAATGAACTTAAAATAATGTTGGAGGAAGATCCTGATTTGTACACTGAAATCGCAAGGTATCATAATATTGATGTAAGGCTTTTGGAAATCCGAAACGTTAATAAATTGCTTGCTTTGGATAAAATCACTAAATTTAAACAAATTCAATCCATCCAATTCATTAAAAATTGCGCAACATTTAAAATTCTTAGAACTGATAATTTATCGAGAAAATTCCTCAAATTCATGAAGACTTTCAAAGTTTCAAGGCATGAAATTCTTTCAACTTATGAAGTTCAAATTAAAAACTTGAACTCGTTCAACCTACAAAAAGATGAATTTATGAAAAGAGTTCAATCTGTTTTAGAGCATTTTAATGGAGTGATCTTCAAAGTATCGAAGTATAATAGAGATTTTGAAAATGGATCAGTAACAGTAACAGTTCCAAAGGAATTTCTTGAACCATTAATTGCAATGCTGCGTAACAAGATTTCAAACAAATTTATTTTGAAAATTCCTGAAGAAATAGTTCCAAGCTATTTGTTGAATTATCGAGAAGTACTTAATTCATTATCAAAGTACTTTGAATCCAAGAAAATAAATTTGATAAATGATGATTATGATTTCTGTGGATTTTTGGAAGATGTTGAGCGTGCAGAGAAAGTATTATTCGAGGATCCTCCAAAACTTCCGGTATACTCTGTCAAAATTCCACCAGATTGCAATATAAAATCCCTTGAAATTGCCATCAAGGCTCAAAACAGTTTCTATCAACTTGACAAAAGATTCAATTTCCTTATCGTTCCAATAGAAGAAGATCAAGAAACAGTTAACACTTTCATTGATAGATTTGGAACACGTGGTATATTTGTTGGAAAAAGAGGAGTTCCTGAATGTTTTGGTGATGATGTTTTGATGCATAATGATCCAACACTTCATTCAAACGAAAGCGTTAATATTTATTTCCCAGAAAAATACATCGTTTCAAGACCAATTTGTCTTCGATGTGCAAAAGAATCAATTGCATACAATCTTGGAAAGATTATTGACTTGAAAGGAAATATCAATATTCCAAGAGCTCTTACAAACGTGGATCATATTGGCATATACTCGTTTTATGATTTCCGAAACAAATATGATCAATCTCAAGGAATCTGGCCAATTACTCCATTAGGTCATTTGATTTGGATTTTATTGTCATCACCAATATCCAAAAGAGAAACGAAAGCATACATAACCGCTCTCGCATCTCTTGCATTTCACAAATGTCCAATATTCACTTATTGTCCGAACCACCCAGAGAAGTTGATATTTAAACAGAAGTTCACAGAAATGCATTGTCTTAAAAAGACCTGTAATATGATCTTGTGTGTTCATTGCGGTCAATGGCATCCTGAAGGTAAATGCGAAGGTAATGATATACCATTGGGTTGCAGACAATGTCCATTCTGTGATACTATTGTTGAAAAAATCAAATTATGTAATCATATTTCCTGCTCTTGTGGAAAACATTTCTGCTACTATTGCGGAAAAGGATTTGACGAAGGAGGTGATGTTTACCGGCATATGGATAGTGCAAAACATAATGATGATCCACCAGATTATCAGAAATTTGTCCAACATAAGAGTGTTTCAGATGAAACACTTGGAAAATTTTATAATGAATTTCCTGATATAAGGAAATTCATCAAACATTAATAACTTGTATAATTTTTTAATTTTTTGTTAACCATAAACTTATATTATATTATATCTGTTAACTTTTTTACATATTTCGGAATTGAATTGTTCAATTTAGAGTAATTAAGCGAAATTCACTATGTTTTGTATGTAGAAATTATAGTATATATATAAATATGATGTTTTATGCCATGAAATTATGAATTTTGACTCAGATTTCGCAAATTCTATTGTCATAATTCTGCCAAGAGTAAATAATTTTGAGCCGATGTTGGCATACTATATAAATATCATTGTGTTATGTTTTCGTAAGATAGAAAGTTTTAAAAATTATCGTCCCAAAATGAATTTTTTTAAGTGGCTGTAAATCGAGTAAAATTAATGTACTATTGGTTTGTAACATATCTCAATTGATGAAATTGATGAAATACATAATTTGAATGCTTGATTGAAACGCTGAAATATAATTCTATGAATTAATTCAAAATATTCTGTAATCCCGTACTTTTCAAATTTAGTCGGGTTTGAAATAAAATGTTTTATTAAAGAATGATAAATATTATTATGAAAAACGATGAAAATAAAATTCAATTCAACAAATCAAATGATTTGGAACCTTCTTGCCCTCACGGTTTTATTCTTGTTGTCTTTTGCATTGATATTCCCTCTATGTGAAAGAAGAAGTTTGATCATTTCTATGTTATTATGTCTTTGAGCATAATGAAAACAAGAACTACCCAAATATATGTTTTTAATATCAGGATTCGCAAAATTCCAAAGAAGAAATTTCGCCTTATTAAAATCGTCTTTTCGGACAGCTCTTAATAATGGAGTATCACCATCCCAGCTGCTTATTTTATTGATATCATAGTTATAAGAAATAATAATTCTAGCAATAGTGTAATTGTTAAAAGTTAAAGCAATATCAAAAGCTGTCATATCTAAAAAGTCTCCTTTATTGATATCGACAACATGTTTAACTAGAAATTCGGCAAGATCAGTTCTGTTATTTTTTAATGCAATATGAAGAATATCGCTACAATTAATACTTTTGTATATATCAACTCCGTTTGTTACGAGAAGAATTGCTTCATCTTTGTTATTATTGCATATTGCAATATGAAGAGGTGTTTTTCCGTTACAATCTCGTGAATTGAGAATTGATTTATAGATTTCTGGATATTTTAATATTGTTTTGCATGCTTCATCACTATTATAAAGACATGCATAATGAAGTAAAGTTCTTTTTTTATCATCAACTTTGCTGAAATCATAATTATTACATTTGAAAAATTCGATTGTTTGTGAAAATGCTGAGCAAAATGGAATTATGGCATCATCATTTTTGTTGATTAAAAGAAATACGGATTTAAGATTTTGGGATTCAATTACATCGTTGATATCAAAGAAACGAACATAAGATGGATCTTTCTCCAAAATATATTCAATAAATTGGTTGTTATGACTAGAAATGCCATACTTCATGCAATCAGCATCGATGTCGTATAATTTCATGCACTCGTTGATTATATCAATGTTTCCACCAATTAATGAAAATTGAAAGCATCTTTTGGTGATATCTTGTTTGAGATCCAGATAAATAAAATAAAAAATGTTGACTGATCCAAATAATGCGCATGCTTCAATTGGTTTTAATTCTTTGAAACATGAAAAGCGAAGCACTATATCATCAATTGAATTTTGGGTCACGTATTCTTTAAATTCTTCAATTTTATCATTCATGATCATATATTTCACAGTATTTTTGGATGGATAATCGTTTGCATAAATCATCACATTGATGATTTCATCATTTTTGTAAGTATATGATATTCCAAGTGGAATACCATCAAAATATTCTTGAATTTTCGAAAAATCAAAAGTATATTTTTCTAAAATCATGTTTATTATTGGAATATATACATTAATTGATCTATAATTATATTTGATTGCATTAATAATGCTTGTAATGACTTTACGAGTTGATAATTGATATTTACCAAGTATAGTTGAACATATCATATTGAAAACTTCATCGAATGATTCATCTGTCTTAATGTGGTAAAGCTTATCATATGTATTAATGAAGTCTTCATATATCGATATATTTTGAAGGATCATTTTGAAATGAAAATGTTTTTGTACGTTAATTTTTTTCCGAAACTTGATCAAAAGTCAAAATTTTCTATGAAAAAAAAACACAAAGAAAAGTCAATAAAAGTATTGAAAAACATTTTACCACTTCATTTATATTATAGTTTGGATTAATAACACATGTATATAATATAGAGTCTTAAAACATGTGCCTTTTGCAATAATTTTTCAAAATAATTTAGAAGATTATTCTATTTTGAGAATTCTGGAAATGTTTTAGTTCAGTTTTAATATAATTTTTATTTTCAAAAGCGTTTTGTGGAAGTACTGTCTGGTTCAAATGAGATTGGAAATTATAAATATTGACAATTTTATTATTCATAGTTTGTGGTAATTGAATCAGAATGTCTGAAAGACTTTTTATTTATATACTATAGAAAACCTATAAAATCAGAATCAGAACTTATCAATTTTAACAAACGAGAATATTTTTCCAAATAATTTAAAAAGTATATTTCATTTTTATTGTTTAACTTATTTAAATATATATATTTAATGGATGTTATGACTTCTGAGGAGATTTTTCATTTCATCAGTAAAAGCAAGTTCAAGAGGAGTAAAACCATCTTTGTTTTTTCCTGGTCTTTCAGATGATTTATATAAAATTCTTTTAACAAGTTCAATATTTCCTGATTGAACACCAAGATGTAATGCAGTGTTTCCTTGTTTGTTAACACTTCTGTAGTTATGATTCATGTGCTGTGTTATTGTTATCACCATTCATGCAACAAATCATTACAGCGTTATTTCCATCATTATCAAAAACATTTGCATTAAATGTTTTGTGCATCATTAATTCTTGAACGATTTGTTTGGAACATCTTGATTTAACAGCAACCAACAATGAATCATCTCCAAATTTATTTTTAGTATCATTAAATGTACATTTATTTATTAAACAATGAAATATTTCATAGTTATTTGATATTAATGCTTTTTGAACAACGTTATTTCCATCGTTATCTTGTTGATTGTAGTTAACTGTGTGTGAATTCATAATATAAATTGCTATTTGTGGTTGAATAAATCTGATTGAAACTTGAAAACAGTTTTCTTTGTTGTTGTTTAAATCATTGAATTTAGAATAATATTTTTGAAGAACCTTCTTGAAATAATCGAGATTTCCTCCCATTGCTGCATAATGTAAAATTGTGTTTCCATTTACATCTTTCTCTTGAATCATTGATGAAGGGAATTTATTGATAATATTTTCGAATCCATACATTTGTGCATTATTAAGAGGTGTAAATATATTTTTGTTTTTCGCGTTTTTATCTGGATTATATCGTTGAACAATATAGTTGAATACATCAATGTTTCCTGATCTAACAGCATAATGTAATATTGTATCGCTTTCATTTGAAACAAAATTTGGATTAATTTTTGGATTATTTGAAAAATCTTTGATAAATTGAATATTTCCTCCGAGAATTGAAATCATTAGTGGCGTTTCTCCATTAATATTTTGGATATTGATGTCTGATCGTGGATGTAATGAGATTTTTTTAGCAATATTAAATTGTTGATTGTAAATACTATGATGAAGAGCTGTATTTCTGTTGTGATCAACCATATTAATATCAAGTAATGGATGGCGTAATATAATTTCAGCAATTTCTTCGTGTTTATAAATTAATGAAAGATGTAAAGGAGTAAATCCATTCATATCAGGTTGGTTGATAGGAGGATTAGGAATATTCATTATTCTTTGAACAGTTGCAATATCCCCATTCGCTGCTGCCTGATGTAGTGATTGCATTTTTAAAATTTATAAGAAGTAAAAGTGACAATTCCGAAAAGGTTTTGAAAAAAAATGGGCAATTTTCATACATACAAGCCTTATTCCTATGATTTATCTCATTAATTAGATACAAAATGTTGTGTTTGTTCCCTAGCGTATTATATGATGTTTCTGAGTCATCCTTAAAAACATATTGAGGATCTGTGAAGAAAGAAAAAATTTCTTGATCATCGTTCAATTGTGGAGTTAGCAGAAACATTTGGTTGCATCAGAATCCATTACTTTGCATAATTTTTTGAGTCTTACATTTTCTTGAGTGTCTGGGATATTATTTAAAACAGTTATCCATAGAAAAACTTATATTTGAAATATTGCTTATGATGTATTTTTGGGAATTTTGAATAGTCTACAATATTTACAATAGGTATTATAGTTCTCGTATCAAAATCAAGCTTGATGGTGGAGCTAAAAACCCTTCAAAAATTGAAACAAAAACCTCTTTTACCCATCATATTTCCTGGACCCAGAAAGTTATGCTATGCTATAAAAAAAGGCAATTTCATATCTTCAGAGAAATTGATACTCTCACAAATTTCAATATGAATGAAATTGTGAGTGTATCAGAAAGTTTTCAGTGCACTTAAAATCTCGAGATTTTTGCTTAGTTATTGAGTGCTTATGTATATCAAGGTACAAAACTTATTGCAATCCCTCAAAACCTCCAAACATGCATTATCGAAACATATGTAACCGATCTAGAATGGGGTTTCGCTCAAAATTCTAAAACTACGCTTAAAGAATTCAAATTTTTATCGCCAAGCTCGCTTACAAAGTTAATTGGCCAAATATTTGCTGATCTACCAAACGTTCAATCGATTGACTTTACAAATTGTTCAAAATTAACCGAAGTTTATTCATATATTTTTAATTATTCCATTAATTTGCGAACTGTTATATTTCCTGACTGCCTTATCTTTTTTGATACAGATGTTTTTGTAAATACTTCTCTTGAATCTTTTAAAATTCCAAGAAATCTTCAAAGAACTGGTTCTTTTTCATTCGTTAATCTCACAACTTTAAGAAAAGTTGATTTTAGTGATGCTACGAGTTTGGAATGGATATATTATGTTTGTTTTTCTGGGTGCACAGCAATTGAAGAAATTGATTTAAGAAACTGTGTCTCTTTGAATAGAATCTCGCCTAACGCATTCTATGGATGTACTAGATTGACTACTGTTTACCTTCCTCCGCATGTTTCTTCATTACAAATTGAAGAAAATGGTTTTTTAAATTGTACCAGTCTCTCTAAGATTAACCCGATTAAACCTGGCCTTGTTAAGTTCAATGTTACTTCATTCAACGGATGTACACAGTTATCAGGCTATTTTGGTATCTTAATTACTTGTAATTACAGAACTCCATTTAATTTGTTTCAAAATCTTATTTTATTAATTATATTCCTTGGGCTTTAGTAAACATACCTTTTAAAAGTATTTATGTTGAAATTTCAAACTTTATTGAGATTAATTTTCATTTTTATTTTCTAAAAAAGCAGAAAAATGTCTAGCAATGATCTATAACTTCTTATTCTTTGATGAAATTCAAACAAAAATACAATTAAGAAAACACATAAAAATTAATTTACAAATCTTAATCTTTAATATCATCACATAATTGATTTAGATTAGACAACTAGATCGTCTAATCCAACAGGTGAAAATTCACTTTAGAATCCACCCTGATTTTTATCAAATTAGTTATTTCCTTCTAGAACATCAATTTGAAAGAATTAATATAAAGCCTATGTGTTTTTATAATGCGGATTCTTGTTGAGCTTTTTCATATTCTTTCAATGAAGCATGTAATTTTTTCCAATTCGTATCTCTCAATCGTGGCGTTGAAACATTCGGAAGGTCCAAGCTCACGAGGATATCCGGATATGTTGCGGAATATCCATTCTTAATGCTTCTTTAACAACGTTATTTCCATCATTATCTTGTTGATTGTAGTTAACTGTGTGTGAATTCATAATATAAATTGCTATTTGTGGTTGAATAAATCTGATTGAAACTTGAAAACAGTTTTCTTTGTTGTTGTTTAAATCATTGAATTTAGAATAATATTTTTGAAGAACCTTCTTGAAATAATCGCGATTTCCTCCCATTGCAGCATAATGTAATATTGTGTTTCCATTTACATCTTTCTCTTGAATCATTGATGAAGGGAATTTATTGATAATATTTTCGAATCCATACATTTGTGCATTATTAAGAGGTGTAAATCCATTTTTGTTTTTCGTGTTTTTATCTGGATTATATCGTTGAACAATATAGTTGAATACATCAATGTTTCCTGATCTAACAGCATAATGTAATATTGTATCGCTTTCATTTGAAACAAAATTTGGATTAATTTTTGGATTATTTGAAAAATCTTTGATAAATTGAATATTTCCTCCGAGAATCGCAATCATAAGTGGCGTTTCTCCATTAATATTTATAGACTAAAAACTTATCGTCTTCTATAATCGAGCTCCTTTCTTAATTGATAGATAGGAATAGTTGTTGTTATTTTTGGTTTAAGAAGACTTTCATTAATTTTGACTTCCATCCAAAGTTCCACTTTCTTTAAATAAGCTGATTTAAATGCAGGAATATTACCATAGAATAATATTTTCGTTCCAATTGAAAAATGCCAAAGATCACTATTATTACTGCAGTGAAGTAAAGTATTTGCTGAATAATGTTGTGTTTTTATAATTCCCCCGAATTCTTCTCTCCATGAACAACTTTCGCAGTATAATCCTGTCACATTTGTAAAATCTTTTGAGTCGTAATCCCAATATTCTAATAAAGGATATCGAACTTGAGAGAAAATATTTTCACCACCTACTCCTGGATATCTCAAAATGAATTTATATGTTTCATTAGGACGATTTGTCTCATTAATTAGATATAAAATGCTGTATTTGTCCTCTGATATATGGTATAATGCTTCTGAGTCATCCTTAAAAACATTTTGATTTGTAACATCATGGTAAAATAATTTAATCCACTTTCTCCCTTTATAATACATAAAATAATAGCTATCTTCTTTAATTGGAACATTCTCATGAAGAGCACTATATTGTAGTAATTGTGGAATCATTTTGTTACTTCAGAATCCATATAATAAAAACAATTTCATATATTCAGAAAAATTGAAACTCTCACAAAATTCAATATGAGTAGAACTGATTGTCCGGAAACATAGATATTATAATTCCTCTGTGAATGTAAAACCAAAATATTTTCAATTACAAAATTTTTGAAATTGAGATGCAACTTGATTTGCAGAATTTTTATTATCTTCCAAATCTCGATAATTATCATGAGAATAATACAAGTTCATATAATTAAACTCAAAGTGTTGTAAACAGAAATTCATCAAAAGTGACACCTCAGAAAAGCTAAAATATTGAATTTTTGGAACTTTTGATAGAGCACGTTTTTAAATATTAATTAAAGTAAATGAAGAAGTAATTTAAAACGATTTTATTTATGATCAAATTTTATATATTTTTTTGGATCAAATCCATTTTAATAGAATTTATATACTATTCATCTATTAGTAAACACTACCGTATATTATTTTTTAAGCTATCTTATTTTTTGAACTTTTATTCAAATCTTTGGTCGCAAGAAGAATTGCATGATAAATAAAAACATTTAATCAAAGTCAATTTTATTTTTCATATTCAAATGGACTGAGTGTTAACATTTAACATTTTTTGCTAATTGTCGTCAAAAATTAGGCGTAAAGCAAAAATTGATATTTCATATGGTTTTATGATAGATAAGCATTATATTCCCACTCATTATATTCGTAAATTTTGAGGTTTATCCTTCGCTTTTAAGATCATTGAATTTGATTTTTATATAAAATAGTTATATATTAGAAAATAATATGAGTTTATGTGATATTATTTTTCAGAAGATTTCATTCTATATGCCTATGAAAAGTACTCTCAAAACTAACTTTTTCCTAATTATAATTAAATCTAGAATATTGTATTATGCTTAGTATTATTTCATTTTTCTCATTCAATTTAGAATTTACAAATGTCAAAAAATTGAGAGCTGTCACTTTTGATGAATTTCTGTTTATTACAAAAGGGGAAAATATCTATCCATGTGATACAGACAATTGTTTCAGCACTGTTCAAATAAAATCGATCAAAATAACTCCACAAAGACATTGGTGGGTTCATTAGACGAAAAAATAAATGACAGATCACATTCGATGCATTATTTTTATATTTTAAGATGTATACAAACTAAATGTTTATCAAATTGTTATAATGACATGTATGGTTTGTTATTGAACAGTATGGAGTATAAAAGGAAATCATTCAACTATAGGTTTTCTTTTCAAGAGAATTCAAAATTCTTCAGTTAGTCGTAAAAGTTATTTTGTTGTAAATTAACTTGAAGTTTCTATTGATTAATATTAGATCAATGTATGCTATTTAATTTGCTTTATTTAATATTAAGAATCCTTGTCTTTTGGATACATTAATAAGTGTTTTCCTATCAGCTTTGGTGCATTTATAATATTGGATATTGTTCTTGAAATTATTGTCTAATCATTGTAGTTCTCATAAATATAGTTAATGGAAGGTGCTTCCACTTTGATATTCGGATAAAATTTGTTATTATTTGAATATAAATGACGATTATTGTAAATTTCCTCATATAAATGATTATATTGCTCAGGCAATCAAAATCAATACACCACTGTAATATTGAGATAGAGTACTAAAATTAACTAATTCCAGTTAATAATGAGTTCATTCTTTCATTAACAATATAAATCTATCTGTTAATTGTAGATGTTTTGACAAATCGAGGAATCTCTTGATCATCGAAATCTTTTATTATTTTTCCCTAATTTTTATGTTTTAATTCAAAATTTGGTCTGGAATTGCGCCATCATGGTTCTTAAACTATTGAGGATGTGTGATGTTGGCTTCATGAGAACTTCTGCCCTTTGAAATTAATAGTAGTATATGTTGAAGGGTTGTGTGACTTTTTTGTAAACGTAAGAATTCATACAATATTGAACGATTTTGTATCATTTTTTTTAACATATGAAGTAAAAAATGTATGATTCTTACGGTTTTTATTCTTACGTTTTTGAATAAATCAAGATTTAAAAAATTTTCAAAATTGTAAGACATTTACACTCAGCCCAAACATAATGAAATAAAATAAAAAAAGAAGCTATATATAGATGATGTCAGATATTCCGCGATTAATTAAACATTATTTGAATTTATGAAATCAATAAAGTCATAATCAAAGACCTCATAAACGAGAAAAAGAAATTGAAATTAATGATTATTTGAATTTATGATATCAATTATTTGATTTATTCTTTCTTCAATCTCTTCTATTCTTTTTGTTAAATCTTCTATTTTCATTAATGAGGTGATTCTTGATTGAGGAATAGATTTCAAACTAACCACCCTCTTTATTTTTGAAATTTTGAATCCATCAACTTTAAACATTTTATTCAATTTACATGTTGTCAATTCTTCAAATAATTTTTTATTATTAGCATAATAGTCATTAAATTCTTCAACAGATGAAAAAATTTTTATTTCAGTAATTGGTTTAACAACGTTTATTTTTTGTTGAACATCTTCACTTTCATTTATTTCTTCCTTCTCTGTTTCATTTATTTTTAAAATCGGTTTCATTTATCATTAAATAAAAATTAGAATATAAGTGATGAAATATATTTTTTAATTAATATTAAATCAGAAATGGCTGCAGGATTCTTTAAAAAATTATGGGATGGAATTAAGAAAGCTGCGGGTTGGGTTCATAAAAATATTATTAAACCCGTTGCAAACTTTTTGGCACCAGTAGCGAAAACGGCAGGAACTATCATAGGTGGAGTATTAGGTACTAAAGCAGGTAATCCGGCGATGGGAGCACAAGCAGGTAACGCAATTGGTGGAATAGCTGAAGGAATACTTAATAAAATAGGAGGTAGATAGTTGAAAAATAAATAAATATTATTTTTATCTTAGTATCGGTTGAAGTCTTTGATAAACTTTTTCTCCTTTTTAAAACTTCTCTTATTGGGGCAGCTTTTGGCGTTATTGATTCAGCAATGTCACTAATTGCTTCTTTATTCTTAAATATCCAATTTGCTCCTTTCTTCATTGTTTCCCAAACTTTATGCGCTCCTCTTTTTACTTTATCCCATAATTTTTAAAGAATCCTGCAGCCATTTCTGATTATTTCATTAAAATTAAAAATTCATTTTCATCTTTTAATTTTGATTTTTTATTTATTAATAAATGACGACTAACTATTTAGTGCCAAACACTAAACCGATTAATGGAAATGTGTTTCATTCATTCGAAAAGATAAATGAAATATTCGCAAAGAATGACGGAGAAGATATTATAGAGAACTTGAAAGTTCATGCTATGACTCTGATGCTCCATATATTGATGATAAACAAACTCATTTAAGAATTACAAATCCGGCTCATGATGTGAACCAATTAGGTGACACATATATTAAACGCAAAGTTAAAGCAACTCTAGTTTCAAATAAAGCTTTCACATGTGATGCCGCTTTTAAATGCATGCGTTTATTCGTTGGTTACAAATCATCAAATCAAAGCTTTAAACAATTAGAAGTAGAAACCGAAAGAGGTGATGCGGTTATCTTCAGATGGATTGCGCCCGTGAATCTTTCGCATTTGCAACATATAAACCAAAATCAGAAAGGAAAGTTAAAAAGTTTGTTCATTCGTTATATAATAATGTTCAAAAATATGATAACTCAGTATGTGGTAAATATATTGACCCTTCAGAAGTTTTCAAGAATGCAAATGAAGAAGTTGATGTCACTTTTGATATGATTATTCCGGTAAATGATTTGTTAGCATTTCAGGCGTTCGATGATTATCCTAAATCATTTGGTGAAATCATTCTTAAATATTATGTTTTCAGGGATACTTTAGTATTTTGTCAGGTTGACCCGTTAAGAGTTGCTGATTTACAAAATTACGTTTATGAAAAGATAACTGATGAAAATTATGAAAAGATTATGAATCATGTTTATAAATATGATCGCAAATTCCAACAAATCGGACTTCCTGCCAAATTAAATTACAAGCTTAGCCGCTACATCTGCTGAGGCAACAGTTGATGACGTTATTATTTCATGCACAAAGATGGAAGTTTTAGAGGATAAATGCATTACACCAGGATACGGTTTAATTGAAGAATCAGTTAAAGCAATACCACGTTTATTTAGTAAGGAAGATCCATTCATGATTCCAGCTCAACATATTGACGTTCGTTCACTAAATGGAGGTTGCATCACTCCTGAAGGTATCAGCTCAGATTTCTCATACGCTCTTCATAATGTTACAGATGTTGTGTTAACATTTCCGAAGAATGCAATGCAA